TCTGTGCCTGATTCAGCGGCTACATCCCTGGCATTCAGAGGGGACTCGGGCAAGGCTTGGATAGAAAGAAGATTGATAGCTGGCGTGGTGTCAGCTTCTATTACCGGCAGAGGTTATCTACTGAGGCCATCAGCATGGCCCATTTCCTTCCCAGGCTTGTGAAGTAGGGAAAAATCATATGCAGACAAAAAGATAGACCACCTGAGCATCCTGGGGGAGATGATTTTGGGGGGTTTGCTTACGTGTGGTAAACAGTCCCAGCAAAGGCTTATGGTCAGTGAAGACCGTGAAATGCCTACCATATAAAAATCATGGAATTTTTTAATCCCAGCAACAATAGCTAAAGCCTCTCTGTCTATTTGAGCATAGTTACGCTCAGCAGAAGACAGTGTTCTGGAGTAATATGCAACAGGAACCTGGGTTCCATCAGACCTGAGGTGGCTCAGTACAGCTCCTACCCCATAAGGGGAAGCATCACAAGCGATGCACACAGGAAGGGATTCATTGAAATGTGCGAGTACACTGTTAGAAGTGAGTAAGGCCTTGATCTCATTGAAACTTGCCTCATGTGTTTGTGACCACTGCCACACTGCCTGTTTATCTAATAGCCTGTGAAGAGGCTCAGCTACACTAGCTTTATGTGGGAGAAAGGAATTGTAGAAGTTCAGAAGGCCCAGAAAAGCCTGTAGTTCGGCCTTAGACTTCGGTCTAGGGGCTTGCATAATGGCTGTTAGTTTGGATTCAGCAGGGTGAATCCCAGCAGCATCAATTTTGAACCCCAGAAATTCAGTAGAAGGCACCCCAATTTTGCATTTGTCCTTCTTAAGTTTGAGGCCTGTTTTCCTGAACCTTAACAGGACAGCCCTTAGCCTTTCAGCTAAAATGTGTGTGGAGTCTCCTGCAATTAAGACATCATCAAAATAGGGGCAAACCCCTGGTATACCCCATAGTGTGTTTTCCATTACGCTTTGGAAAATCCCAGGAGCGACATTTACTCCAAATTGTAGCCTCTTTACCTTAAAGGCCCCTCTGAAAGTCACAATAGTCTGAGCTATAGCAGCATCATCATCAACAGGCAGCTGTTGATATGCCTGAGCTAGGTCAAGCTTTGCAAAAACACGCCCCCCCTTGAGGGAGGCCAAGATATGACTGAACACAGAAACAGGATAGGCATGTTTCTGCAATGCCTTATTCAGAGTGCATTTGTAATCAGCACAGATGCGAATATCCCCATTTGCCTTGAGAGGCGTGACAATGGGGGTCTCCCAGGGACTGGAGTCAACAGGTTCTAGAGTTCCTTGTTGGATCAGTTTATCCAACTCAGTGTCAATTTTACTCTTCAAGGCAAAAGGGACCCTTCTTGCTTTAATGCTAATGGGAGTGACAGTGGGGTCAAGCTTTAATGACACAGGGGGTCCTTTGAATGTGCCCAGCTGGGGGCTGAAAACATCTGCAAATTCTTTGCAGACTTCCTGTAGGTCGAGTGTTTGTAGGCTGTTGAGCCCTGTGACGTGTATCCCCAAAGCCTCAAACCAATCGAGTCCTATGAGACTCGTTCGTTCACCCTCTACTACTAGTAGGTCTAGTGGACCCTCAAAATCCTTATACTGTACGTTAAGGGTGGCCTCCCCCTTAACACACACTCTGGAGTTTTGAAAGTCTGTTAGCACAATGTCAGAAGGCCTCAACGTGGCCTGGGTTCCGCTGCCGGAACAAATCTTCCTAAATGTATGCATAGAAATGATCGAAAGTGCAGACCCCGTGTCCAGTTCCATAGTCAATGGAACCCCTTGTAGCTTCACCTTAAGTGACAGCTTTTTCTTAATGGGCTTGTGTGTGCCTGTCCTATAGATGCTTCTTCGCGAAGTGCAAAAACCCACCCTGTTCTGGCTGGGAATCCTGGTACCTTTCAGGCGCAATTCTTCCTGAGGTTGTATCTTTTGACGGCCCAGGCACACAGCTGCAATGTGTCCTTGTTTTCCGCACGCCCTGCAGATAGCGGAGCGGAACTTGCAGTCGGTTCTCTTGTGGCGACCTCCACAGCCGATGCACTTGGGGAGAGCTGAAGAGCTTCCTTTCTGTTTCCCTTCCTTTGTGGGGTGGAGACGGTCGACTTCCTCATCCGGATCCTCCTCAGAGTTTCTTTGGACTTCTTCTTGGTGCACGGATGCAGCATCTGGACTGTTTCTGATCGGCCACATGTTCTTGATGGCGCCGCCCGCTGCTTCTTCTGCGGTGACCTCTCTCAAGGCATCTTGGAAAGACAAGTCCTCCTTAGCAAAAAGTCTCTGTTGTAACTCTCTATGTCTTAGCCCACATACTAATCTGTCCCTCAGTCGTTCTTCGAGGTCCTTGAACTCGCAGTGTTTGGCGGCTTTCCTCAATGCGGCAATGTACTCCTTGGCCGATTCTCCGGGTCGTTGATCCCTCTGCTCGAAGGTGTGGCGCCACGCGATGATGGACATCTTAGGCTGGAAGTGCTCCTTCAGTAGCTTCTTTAGATCTGCGTAGCTGACAGACTGTAGAGGAACAGGTGCTGCAAGGTTCTCAGCGATTTTGAATGTGTCTTGACCGCATACGCACAGCAGGGTGGCAGCCTTCAGACTATCTTCCCTCACTTGGTTCACCTTGAGGTAGTTTTCCACCCTGGCTATGTAGGACTCCCACTTCTCTGGATGTGAGACGTCGAATTCCGAAAACCTTCCAATTTTTGCCATTTTTGTAGAAGGAAGGGTCTATCAGCCAGCCTACCCCTGAATGCACGCTGGATTGGTGGGTAGCTGCTGAGTCAACGCCGTTCCTGCCGCTCAGGACTCACTCGGGTAAGCTTACACCTTTTTGTTGATGTAAGGCAATCCCACCTTCGTCGCCAGTGTTGCGTCCTTCGCGAAATGGCAAGACACGAGAAGCAGTTGTAGTTCTCAGGAACTCTTTATTCTGTAGTTCAGCTTACAGTTAGTAGACGCCGACAACGCCCAAAACTCTCGGCCTCTTTTATAGGCCTTTCCCAAGTCAATCTGCAACTTTTGGAGCGCCAGCACCCGCGCATGCACACAAGTACTGGCGACAGCCTGTCTGGTCCCGGGCAGCTTGCACCTGCCCAGGACCGTTTCCAATGCCCCGAGTCTGCTTGCACAGGCTCAGGACATAACAGGAACTACTTCAGCTCTTTTCCAGTCCTCTGGTAGTTCCCAGTGCTCCAGGATCTTTGAAAAATATAGTTCAGTGGTTCTGAGATCACAACTGCCAGTTCCTTAATAACCTTGGGGTGTAATCCATCTGGTCCTGGTGATTTGAACTCGTGTAGGCTGGACAGGTACTCACTTATCATTTTCTTGCCTATCTTAACTTGTGTTTCTATACTGTTTTTTATGGCACTATTTTTGATAGGTTGGTCTGTTTTTTTCTCTTTGTGTAAAGATAGATGCAAAAAATGAGTTAAATAGTTCTGTAAACTTAGCAGCTGTGCTTATTTCTACATGCTATTCATCCATTACAATGCATTGTACAAATACAAAGATTTTGTGTCCTTCTAACTAATTCTTAACTGTGCATGTGTCTCCATTTCAAACAAAAAGGTTGAAACTACTTCTCCTTTTGACAAGGAAGCCCTTATTGTTTTTAAGGAGAAAAAGTATAAGATGTCCCCACTCTCCTCCTCCACTTGTTTCCTTCTTCTCTGAATGTATTTGGAATATATTTAAACTTTAATGATTATTAATTTTAAAATGGAAATATTAAATTAATTATATCTAGATTGTCTAGCTCAAAACTCAGCATGTGTTAATTAAACCTTTTTTTTGAAGGGAGGCACTCCTTTGTGAGCAGAAGGATTTAGGGTGATAACTGGCATGTCTCTAGCTAGAGTTGATTGCCCATAACTGCACAGCTGGGGAAGAACCATCTGCCTCCTGTCATAGGCCACAGGTCATACCCTCAGGACCTTTTCTAAATGCACACTGCAGTGGCATCTAGCAACTCACACTATGCAGTTCAGCCAAAGCATGGGAAGGAGTTCTTGCAAAGTTGGAATTTTATGGAACTCTATGGAGTTTTTTTCCAAGTAAGGCCTCAGCTAGATGGCCCACCAAATCCTCAGTGGAAAAACCCAAGCTTCCTCTCACACCCAAAGAGTCCATCAGGCACCTTGGATGGCTGATTTAAAGACCCTGTCTCCCTGTGAGGTGGGGTGACACCTAGCAAACCAGAAAGTATCTAGAGAACGATTTTACTATGGCAATGGAATGAATGTCATGTTCTCCAAAACTAGATATGTCACAACTGCCACAAGACAAAAATTAGTGTACTGGTCCCTGGTATATATTGGGTATAGTGATTTGGGACAAGTCCATGGTTGCCATGATGGCCATAAATTCCTGGACTACATTAGACTCATGGCTACCAGATGTGAAGTTGAAATACCCATGAACCAATAGTCTCAGGGTCTCTATTGTCAACTCAACAACAGATCCAGAAGCTCAAGCAGACATGATGCCAATCAACAGGAAATATACCAGCAGCAACCAGCAGAGTCCAAATTCAAATAAAGGATCTCACATCCAGTTGGCATCACTGGCCTCCAAATCCGCAATATAACTTGCAGATGACAACTGCCAATAGGAGGTTCTTCTTAATTTCCCCATAAAATGTTATCAGAAAAGAGGTAAGAGTAATTATTTTTATTTCCCATAAAAAGTGTTCTCCACAATCATTGTATTTGTATTCCACATCAGTTTCAAGATTGCCTTTAAAAGTAATAACTATTCGGTATGCTTTATTTGAGTATTTATTATCATAGGTCAGCCAATCCAATTCCTAGCCTTAAAAGGAGCAATTTGTGGGATAGAATATGTGCCATGAAGGAAGAAAAGTGGGAAGATGGAAATGGAGGGACAGAAGGGGGGAAGGAAGGAAGGAAGGAAGGAAGGAAGGAAGGAAGGAAGGAAGGAAGGAAGGAAGGAAGGAAGGAAGGAAGGAAGGAAGGGGAAAGAAAGAAAAGGAAAGGGAGAGAGAGAGAAAGAAAAAAGAGAGAGAGAGAAAGAAAGAAAGAAAGAAAGAAAGAAAGAAAGAAAGAAAGAAAGAAAGAAAGAAAGAAGTTGTCACTTTGACTTCTTTCCTTTTCTTAATTATTGAACACAAGTGTCCACTGAATGTTTAACAGCTCGTATAAGGAGGGATTGGTTCTTATTTTGGAAGATCATAAATGCAGACATTATATCCATGTCTTTGGTGTCCCCATCCAGAGAGAAGGTGAAGTTCTGGAGCAAAGTGCTGAAGAACAGGAAGAGCTCCATCCTAACCAGAGCCTCTCCTGGACAGGCCCTCTTCCCTGAAATTGCAAACAAGAAAACAAAGCTTATTCAAAGCTGATTAAAGAATAACATGGATCAGGCAAGCATATGAATTGGTAATACTATCTGTCCCAGAGAACTGTACCTGCTGAGAATGGCATGAAAGCATCTCTTTTCCTGAACTGGTCCTTTTCATTCAAAAAATGATCTGGGTTGAACTTCTCTGGAGTCTCCCAATGGAGAAGATCACGGTGTACTGAGGAGAGGACTGGCACAACAGCCATGTACTAGAAGAAGGAGGTAAAGAAACAGATGACATTAATTGGTGCTACTTCATCCAGAGAATAAAGAGCCTCACTTGTGTCAAATAAAATAGGCCAGCAGGGAGCAATCTGCAAACATTCTGAAATGGAATGAAGGGAGAGAGATTTGGTTTTATTAATTAATTTATTAAATTTGTATACTTCCCATGTCAGTATCCAAAGTGACTCTAGGCAATTCACAATGCCATAAATAATACATATTAATACATACTTATTCAAACTGCCTTGAATATGAAGGATCTTTGACTATATAACAGTGAGTGCTTTTTTTGTAAAAAACAAAAAGGTGGTGGAACTCACACAGGTCATACAACCCACCTTGCCTACCCTACAAGGTTTACCTTTGTAGTTGAAAAAAAACCCTTCAATTTTTAGTGTATCTAAAAGACTAGGATTTTGTTCAAGGCAAGTTAATAATATTAATGTTACCATGCACAAATCCAATGAAAAAAGGTGCCGGAACTCCATTCCTGTGTGTTCTATGACCAAAAAAGCCCTGATAACAATCATCTATTTTTTTTCCTCTGCAGAATATCTTTATCAGTAATTATTATTGCCACACCTTGGGAATGTTGTAACCATGGAATTTTACGTCACAAGTTGTTGCCCGTGGAAGGTTCTCAAAGCTAAAAGTCCAATAACGTTGAACCTCATAGACCACAGCATTTGTGAAAGGCATCTTCAACCTGTCTTCCATGCTTGGAGTGCGATTTGTACCCACTACCTCATCAATCTCTTGTTTCACCTTAGCGGTGAGAAAAACATATTGAGATGAGATTGACAACCTTTTACTGTATTGTACTGAGCACCCTCAGTCAGCTACCACTTGAATAGAAACATGTTTTCCAAAGCACGTTCAGAGGAGACACTTCCAGTCAGGAAAATGGCTCTTCCTCAAAGTCGTTTCTCAGTGGACACCATTTCAATTTTTCTAGTGCAAGAAGACTATGTTACGGTTGAAATTATGAAAGCTGGTGATCACAGTTTACACAAGATACTAGCAAAGCTATACTTGAGTTGCCTCAGAAAAGAAAAAATAACTGATGCATGGAAAAATGCTGAAGTAATTCTTGTACACAGGAAAAAGCCCCAAGATGATTTAAAGAACTTTTGCCTGATAAGCCTTCTTTCACTTATCAACAAGGTTTTCACAAAGATAATAGCAAAAAGAATATTGAGAATGTTAAATGATGCACAGCGAAAGGAGCAGGCAGGGTTCAGAAATGGTTATAGCACAATGGATCACATCCAGGTTGTTCATTAAGTCATTGAAAGGTACAACAAATACACCATGCCTCTGTGCATGGCTTTCATTGACTACAATTTCATTGACTACAACTCAGAATTCCAGCAAGCAATAATTAGGGCATTGCTCAACCAAGGCGTAGATACTTCTTACATAAACATACTACAATCAATATATGAAAAACAATGGCAACAATTTGCCTTAATGATCTTAAAGTGGAAATCAACATAGAACAAGGTGTACAACAAGGCGATACAATATCCCCATTTTTTTCTCAGTCTGCCTTTAAGAAGTATTTTGCAAACTAGACTGGGCAAAAAATAGAATAAAAATCACTGGCGTTTATTTAAATCACTTAAGATTTGCAAATGATATTGTTCTCTTCCTCCAAGATCCAGAAGAACTACAAAGAGACAAATGAGAGCCGCACAAAGCAGGAGAACCGTTTGGCTTAAAAATAAACCTGAAAAACAGCCAGGTTATGTTTAATAAATTCACCAAAGAAAGAAAAATATATATCTGAAGAACTAGATATAATAGACCACTGCATATACCTTGGCCAATGGATGTCAATGGAAGGTGATAAAGGAAATTGATCAACATGTTAAATGTGGTTGGTAGGCATTCAGCAAGCTAAGTATAATTTTCAAGAACAACTTCCCCCTATGCCTGAAGAGAAAAAGTTTTTGATCAGTGTATACTACCTGCTCTAACATATGCCAGTGAAACATGAACACTAACCTCACAATCGATACAAAAGCTACAAATGGCACAAAGAGCCATGGAAAGATACATGCTCGGCATTACAAGACAAGTTAGAAAAACCTGCAAGTGGATTAGAGAACAAACGAAAGTGTATGATATCTTCAAGAAGAGTAAAAGAACTGAAATGGAAATAGGCCGGTCACATGGCAAGAAGAATTGATGGCAGGAGGACCAAGGCAGTCATAGAATGAATCCCACTCGATAAAAAGTGTCCACGAAAGAGATCTAAAACAAGATGGATCAACAACATCAGCAAGTTTTGTGGGCCCAGTTGGCAGGACTGTATGGGTCCTTGACTGTAATAAACTTGAACTTAATCCTGCAGTGGATAGAGAATGGTAAAAATGATGATGAGAATGAATAGTATGTGCCAGCAGAGTACAAACAATTTATTCCCTCAAAAACCTCAAGGTTCATTTCTAAAGAAAGAATGCTTAAGGTTACAGCTGCCAGGTATTGTAGATTAAGATTTATTATATTGTCACTGCTTATAGCAGTATGGTTCAAATGTTAAGGATGATATATCTTGAGTTAAAAGGATGTGGGTTTATACTGATACAAAAATGATTCTTAAGAAAAGCTATACCATATTAAATTAATCATTCATACTAGGACTCCTTAAAGCAAGTACTCAATTAATTAATTGATCTGCCTTAAGGCTGTATGAAGAAAAAGACTGCTGTTTTAAAGCATTCAGTCACATCTTGCCTCTTCATGATCTAATGCAGTGGTCCCCAACTTCTCTGGCTCAATGGACCAACAGCAGTAGTGGCAGCAGGAAGGAGGGTTTGGTTTCAGATGCGCAACTTAACTCCCACGCATGCTTAAATGAAGCCTCAAGAACTCGCCTCCTGCTTGCATGGCCTGATTCCCAACAGTAATGGTCCAAGGACTCAGGATTGGGGACCCATGATCGAGTGGATATTATTTTACTAGAATTGTCTTCATGTAATTTCAAGATCTGATGGAAGCCCAGTTGTTCCAAGGGCATGTTCGTTAAACTGGGAAATAAACAAAACAAAACGTTCTGTAAGAAGATCTTGGCAAACACTTCCCAAAACTTCCCAGGAAAACTGCAGAAATGCAGCTGCAATGAGTTTACTTTACTCAACAGCATCCTTACTTTATTTTTTCCAGGATTATTAGTGGAAGCCCTAAAGCAGGGGTCTCAGCCAGAGTGCTTGGCTGAGGAATTCTGGGAGTTGAAGTCCACAAGTCACAAAAGGGCCATGTTTGAAGAGCCCTGCCCTAAAGAGTTGACACCTTTATATATTTGTGGTTATTTCTGTACCTTGAATATGTGGCAATTTAGCCATTGCTAGGAGGCTGCGTTGCAAAGTTTGGTTTGTGGTTATTGTCCCAGCAGTAAAGAGACCAAGCACAGTAATCACAAGATTTTCAAGAGTGTAGATTCCCTCAGATAAGTTCTGCTCCTGAAAAAAAAAATAGAAAGGGAAACAGAAAGATGAAAATGGGGTTGATTTAAAGTAATTTATGAAACTCTTCATAATGTTTCTTTCAGTTAAAGGAAATTTAATTCTACCAGACTAACTTTAGAATATATAGGATAATTTTTCAATTGTAAAGCATTTATGCAATCACCGTTTGATGCAGAGAGGAAATAATTTGCCTGTCTGATCTACCTATCAAATATTTACCACAAGAAATTACGAGAATTAAAGGTTGTTATTTAGAGCTGGACAAAAGCAACTCTTAAGCTGTATGGTGGGTATTATGTTTTGGGTTTCTTGGCATTGAAGCGACACACAATACCAGTTTCAACCAAGTTCTTCTTTATTCAACTCCAGTTCCACTCAACAAGCAACAGGCTCACAGGCCTTTTATAGTTTCCCAAACAGCCTATCATAATTCTCCCTTTTTTGCGCCTTGCGCCTGCTCACAAGGCTGGCGCCAAACAGTCTAGTCCCGGCAGCTTTTGGAATGCCCGGGACCATTTGCAACACTTCTGGGCCTGCTGAGCTGCCTTAACAGACCCAGGACACAACACACCTCCCCCCCAGATAAAACACACAAGTACACTTGTTCCCCTGGCCAATACACATGGGCAGACAATTATTTTTTTTAAAAAAAAATAATAAAGTTAACTTAAACAATCGTTCTTCAAAATAAAATGAGTGTTTGTGTATTTTACCAAGTGTAGGTTCCCAACACCTCATTATGGACCAGCAAGGTTCCCTTGTGATGACAGAAACCTCACATAGTCTCCCAGATGTTTGGGAGGGGTTTTAGCCCTTTGAGATCTACGTAAAATCAGAGAGAGTGCCTGGCCTGTCAGCTCACCTGCCCTGCTAGGAAGACCAGGACTTCTACTTAAGGGTGCCTGGCCTACCGGCCCATCTGTTGGGCTCGATAGATCAGGACTTTGATGCTCATAAGTTACAGGTGGTCAAGGTGGTCAATGTGCCGGGCTGGCAGGTTCTTCTGGGCTCCATTCAGGTTCCCTTGGAGAGGAGGAAATTCCCAAACCCAGTGGTAGAGTGGAGTTTCCCCCGTCCACCATGGACTGCTCCTGGGAACTTAGTCCCTCAAGCCCGAGACCCATCTCAGACATCACCTGCATCTCAGCAGTGCCCCAATAGTTCCTGTCCCCCATGTACGTGGCCAAGGTGCCAGAGTCAGGACTGCCTCAATGGCAAACTCCTTCACAGAAGAATTCCTGTTTGGCGCTCTTGCGGATGTGCCGGCCACCCCCCAAGATGACTTCCTATTTGGAGTAATTTCTGATGCACAGGACTCCCTGTTCGGAGCAATAGCTGAATCGTGAGGATGCCATCGCTCCTCCACTGGGGAATTCCTAGCAACCTGTGATAATTCCCAGGAACAATAAAGCTGGTTCTCAGGATTTTGACCTGAAGTGTGATCATGTTCCTGGGTCCCAGGGTTTTGACCTGAAATGTGATTATGTTCCTGGGCCCCCTCCCCCTGAGAGCAGAGGCAGGGGCAGAATTGATGGGGGACAACCACCAGAGCAGTTGGTCGATGTGACGCCGAAGGACACAGCCGTCTCCCAAGGTCACTTCATATGATAGTGGCCCCAAGATCTTGCAGATGACAGTGGGGACCCAGAGATGTCCAGGACCATAGTTCCTTGTCCAGACCGGATCGCCCACCTGAAGTCTCCTAGGTGACTGCCGCTGTGACACCTGTGAAGCCACCAGGTCTGGGTGCAATCTGTCCAACTTTGTGATGAGGCAGCGATCCCAGCGGAGTTCAGCTGGGCTCTTCCCATTGGCAGTGCATGGTGTGGTGCAGTGTGCAAGAAGAAAATCAGCTAGCCTGTGATGCCAGCTGCCGTGTATGATGCATTTGAGCACATCCTTGGTGGTGTGCACCATCCTTTCAGCTTGCCCATTGGAGGAAGAGTGGAAAGACACTGACATGGCGTGCCAGATCAAGTTGGACTGAAGGAAAGCCTGGAACTCAATAGAAGTAAATTGAGGACCGTTGTCAGAAGCGAGGACATTCGGAAGGCCGTGGGTAGCGAAGATTCCTCTCAACACCTGGATAGTCCTGGCAGTAGTAGTGGAGGAGACAGATACAATCTCTAGCCACTTGGAATGGCTATCTACCAGGATAAGGAAGAATTGCCCCTGAAAAGGACTAGCATAATCTAAATGTATCCTTGACCAAGGGGTTTGTGTCTCCTCTCACCTGTGTACAGGGGCATGAGGCATTTCAGGCCATGACTGTTGGCACACCTGGCATCCGTGTACCTGGGCCTCGATAGCTTTATCCAGGCCAGGCCACCACAGATGGCTTCTTGCGAGCACTTTCATGCTCACAATGCCTGGATGTCCCTCTTGCAGAGAGGACAAGACTCTAGACCTCAGTGAGGCAGGAATAACTACTCTACTACCCCATAACTGGCACCCATGAAAAGTAGACAGTTCGTGTCTTCTTTGCCAGAAGGCTTGAAATATAGCATCCGGACATGTGTCAGGCCATCCTGACAAAACCCAAGTCAGCACGCATGTCAGTGTGTGATCAGTGGCAGTTTCTGCAGCCACGTCCCTAGAATTGAGGGGAGATTCAGGTAACTCCTGAATAGAGAGAATCTGAATAGCAGGAGCAGGGTCAGCCTCTATTTATTTGAGAGGCAACCTGCTGAGGCCATCAGCATGGCCCATCTCTTTTCCTGTTTTATGAATAAGTGTATAATCATATGCTGACAGGAAAATTGACCATCTCAGCATACGTGGGGAAATGATGTGAGGTGTCTGTTTGTTGGTAGTAAACAACCCCAGCAAAGTTTATGGTCTGTATAGACCATGAAATGGCGACCATATAATTTCTTTATGCTAGCCACTATGGCCAAGGCTTCTCTGTCAATCTGAGCGTAATTCTGCTCTGCAGATGACAGAGTTCTTGAATAATAGACTACAGGGATTTGTGTCCCATCAGCCTTCAGGTGGCTCAGTACTGATCCAACCCAATAAGGAGATGCATCGCATGCGATACATACAGGCAGTTGCTCATTGAAATGCGCTAAAACAGCATTTGAAGAGAGCAAGGCCTTAACCTCACTGAAACTCCTCTCATGGACCTGAGTCCACTGCCATGGAGCCTGCTTGTCTAAGAACCAGTGTAATGGCTCTGCCACTGCAGCCTTATGTGCGAGAAATGTGTGATAAATATTTAAAAGCCCCAAGAAAGCTTGCACCTCACTCTTTGACTGGGGACTTGGGGCCTGCTGAATCATCTGAAACTTGGATTCAGCAGGGTGAATGCCTTGGGCATCAATCCTGAAACCCAAAATATCAGCAGAAGTGACTCCTATTTTGCACTTGTCTTGCTTCAATTTAAGGCCTGCTTTGTGAAAACGAAGCAAAACAGCCCTTAATCTTTCTGTCAGATTTTGAGATGACTCCCCAGCAATGAGGACATCATCAAAATAGTGACAGACCCTAGGAATGACACGAAGTGTGCGTTCCATGACACTTTGAAATATGCCAGGATCTACATTAACCCCAAACTGCAGTCTTTTAACTTTAAAGGTCCCTCTATGGGCCTCTGCAGTTGCCTCATCAACAGGTAGCTGTTGATAAGCCTGTGCCAAATCAAGTTTTGCAAAAAGGCGCCCCCCCTTCAGGGAGGCCAAAATGTGGCTCACCACTGGCACTGGATAAGCATGCTGTTGCAATGCTTTCTTCAGTGTACACTTATAATCTGCACATATGCGGACTTCTCCATTAGCCTTTAAAGGCGTGACAATGGGGGTTTCCCATGGACTGGAGTCCACAGGTTCTAAAATGCCCTGCTGGGGCAGCTTGTCCAGCTCTGAGGGCAAAAGGCACCCTTCTAGGCTTGTTCCTGATGGGCATGATAGTGGGGTCTAAATGCAATGCAACGGGAGGCCCCTTGCAGGATCTAAGCTCTGAGCTAAACACATCAGCAAACTCCTTGCAGACTTCTGCAAGGCCCAATGTTTGCACACTGTGAAGCCCAGTCACCTGGATTCCAAGGGCCTTAAACCAATCAAGTCCAATAAGATTTGTGCATTCACCCCCAACTACCACCACATCAAGAAAACCTTCAAAAGCTTTACGCTGCACTTTGAGTGTAGCCTCCCCCTTCACACTGACTTTGGAGTTCTGGAAGTCAGTGAGGATTAAATTTGATGGCCTGAGTTTGACTCAAAAGCCACTACTACTACAAATCCTGTTGAATGTGTCAAGTGAAATGATGGATAGAGCAGACTCTTTGTCCAACTCCATCAATAAGGGAACCCCCTGTAACTTCATGTCAATGCGAAGTTTTTTCTTAAGGGACTTGTGTGTCCCTGTCCTTAGAATACTCCTGCGCGATGCGTAGAAACCCACCCTGTGTTGTCTGGGGACCCTGGTACCTTTCTGAAGCAATTCTTCCCAAGGTTGGACCTTCTCACAACCCAAACAGACAGAGGCAATGTGGCCTTGCCTACCATATGCCTGGCAAATGGCGGAATGGAACCTGCAATCAGCTTGTGTGTGACGACCTCTGCAACCGAGACACTGAGGAGATGCTGGGGCCTTGATGGGACACCCTTTAAGCCTTCTTTCTGCTAGCTGGTGATGTCTGTCCTCCTGTTCAGAATCCGCTTCAGACCCTTCTCGAGCATCCTCTTGATGGACAGACACGGCTGCTGTAGTGCTTTTGGTGAGTCGCAAGGCCTTCACAGTGCCTCCTGCAGCCTCTTCAGCTGCAACTTCTTGCAAGACATCTTGGAAAGTGACTTCAGCTTTAGCAAATATTTTTTATTGCAGCTCTCTGCTTCTCAGACCACAGACAAAATGTCTCATAAGCGCTCTTCCAGGTCCTTGAACTCACAAGGCCTAGCGGCTTGTCTCAAGGCAGCAATGAATTCAGCAACAGACTCACCAGGCTTCTGGTCCCTCTGCTGAAAAGCGTGCCTCCATGCGATTACAGATAGCTTCAGATGAAAATGATCCTTTAGTATATTTTTAAAGTCTGTGAATGTTACAGACTCAAGCGGTACAGGAGCAACTAGATTTTGAGCCACATCAAAAGTGTCCTGTCCACAGACGCACAGCAGAGTTCCTGCCTTTAAGCTGTCTTCTCGAACTTGGTTGACTCGGGCCACGTAAGAGTTCCAATGCTCCGGGTGCGACACATCGAATTTGGACAGCCACCCAATTTTCAACATCTCTTGCTTCTGTTAGCCTCGCTGCAATTCAGGCTCGGAAGAGGCCGGTTAGCCAAGCCCACCTCCAGCATTTGCGCACTGGTAGGTGAGTGCCAATCTGGGTGCCGACTTCCTCTTCCAGGTCTTTTTTGTAAAGACTAGGTTCCTTACGTTGTCTCCTTCTTTGCAGTGATCCCACCTTCGTTGCCAGTATTATGTTTTGGGGTTCGCAGCATTGAAGCAACACGCAATACCAGTTTCAACCAAGTTCTTCTTTATTCAACTCCAGTTCCACTCAACAAGCAACAGGCTCGCAGGCCTTTTATAATTTCCCAAACAGCCTATCATAATTCTTCCTTTTTCGTGCCTTGCGCCTGCGCACAAGGCTGGCACCAACCAGTCTGGTCCGGGGCAGCTTTTGGAATGCCCGGGACCATTTGCAACACTTCTGGGCCTGCTGAGCTGCCTCAACAGACCCAGGACACAACAGTGGGAAAACAGGATTAGATCTGAGCATAGAAGCTTGAATGTTATATCTGAGAGACTAATTCTAATAGAAATTGCTTCTGCAAGATGAATGATTATCTTTGTATCACCTATTAAGAGTGTAGAAGAGGTGTAAATTAACATGTAAAGCAAATGTCTATACTTATTCATTTTTAATTATGTCGGGGATAGGAGTACATGTTAACAAATAGCAAATTAAAGTAAGGAAGAAGGGGAATAAATATTTTTTTATTCTTTCATACAAGGTGAACTAGTTTCATCTTAGATACATATTGGAAATATTTAAAAAGTTATGTATAGATGGTATCTATGCCTACCTTCTCCATTCTGTGAAGGAAGCAATCTATATAGTCACGCAGGTTCTGGGGATCCAATGTCTTCTTGTGCAATTCCACTTTCTCACGGATATAATCATAGAGTTTTTCTGTCTCAGACTCGATATGCCGTCCAAAAAAGTATTCCATTGTTTTTGGAAAAGTATTGTACACCTGTTGCAGAGTTGATGTTAAACATTATATGTTTTTAGACCATAATGGTGAAGGCTTAATGCCCCAAATATTCAGAGAGTAGCTTTTAGTCTGATATTGTTAATTATCAAACCTCAGCTAGGTGCCAAGACAAAGAAGACAAGTTTGGCAAGAATCTCAGTAAGCTATCTTTAATTTTAGTGTTGAGTAAATGCAGCATGTTGGGAACAATGCATGGTAGGAATTTTTATTTATAATAAGTTGGTTAAAAAGGAATCTCTTTGAAAAGCCTTTCCCCCAGATCTTTCCTCACCTAGGCTGAGTTCTCTGCAGGATATATTCTGTCAAGCCTCACCCCAGCTATCCCATGAGGGGATAATGATGAAAATGGTGATAATTCTTGAAGCAGGGAGGAAAGAGAGACATAAGAATAGGGGAAATGTCTAAAAATACCAATAAGAAGAGAGGCACCTGTGCATAATTTGATATGATGATTATCAAATTATATATAGTTAAATATGTAGCATTGTACTTTTAAAAAATATTATAATAATATGTTGTTCGTCCATCCATTTTGATGAAGACCTTGACATCTTGTGGGTTATGGGCCATCAACGATGTGTCCATAGGTGGCTAATAAGACCGATGTTAGGACGGAATGTTCTGCCACATACTGAACAAAGAAATATAGACACTGTTAATTCAGCATTTGCAGCTCTGGCTTTGAGGAGTGCTTGCTTTTCTTGTGGCAAGATTGTCCTTCTGTGTTCATATGTCTGGCAACCCTGGTACACCAAGGTGCGCCATGTCGGTCGATCATGCACCAGAAGTTCCCAAGAGATGGTGTTAATATCCAGGGACTTAAGAGAAGCTTTTAACGTGTCTTTGTATCGCTTCTTTTGTCCCCCGCATGATCGCTTTCCTTGAGACAGCTCACCATAGAAGAGCTGTTTAGGGATGCGATGATCTGGCATCTTTACAACATGGCCCGCCCAGCGCATCTGGGCTTTCATCAACAGAGTGTAAACTGATGATAGACCTGCTCTGGAGAGGACATCTGTGTCTGGTATCTTATCCTGCCACCGGATCCTCAGAATTCTATGAAGGCAAGTCATGTGGAAGTAGTTCAGTTGCCTAACATACCTCCAGGTCTCACTAGCATACAATAGGGCAGTTAGCACTGCTGCCTGGTAAACTTTAAGCTTGCAAGACTTATTCCACGGCGGTCCCACATGTTAATCCATGTGGGACTTGGCAATTCTACAGTTGACCTCAATGTCAATTGTCACTGCACGGGAGAGGGTACTACCAAGATACGTAAATTGGTCCACTGCTTGCAGCTTTTGTCCCTTTACTGTGATGGTAGGCTCTTGATATTGGGTTTTTGGAGCTGGCTGGTACATCACTTCAGTTTTCTTCGTGTTGATGAAGAGGCCAAAGTTGTCACAAGCGGCTGCGAATTTGTCCATGCTGGCTTGCATTTCCTGCTCTGATCCTGCATTAAGGGCACAGTCATCAGCAAAGAGGAGATCTCGTAGCACAGTCTCCTTTACCTTGGTAACAGCCTGAAGTCTTTGCAGGTTGAACAGTTTCCCATCAGTTCTGTACCTCAGATTAACTCCCACTGAGCTGTTCTGAAAGGCGTCTGACAGCATGGCTGAGAACATCATGCTGAACAGGGTTGGTGCCAGCACGCAGCCTTGCTTAACGACATTAGTAACAGGGAAGGCCTCTGAGGCTCCACGGTTACTCAGAACACGAGCTGCCATGGCATCATGGAACTGTCATACCATCAGAATAAACCTGTCAGGGCACCCAAACTTCGACATAATGCGCCATAGTCCTTCATGACTAACTGTGTCAAAAGCCTTGGTGAGATCCACGAAGGTGGTGTATAGTTCACGATTCTGCTCCTGACATTTCTCCTGGAGCTGTCAAGCTGCAAATATCATGTCCACTGTGCCACGCTCTTTGTGGAAACCACACTGTGTCTCAGGTAGTATACCCTGTTCCAGATGGTCAATCAGGCAATTTAGCAACACTCGTGCAAAGATCTTGCCTGCAACAGAGAGAAGTGATATTCCCCTATAATTATCGCAGACTTGTCGATTTCCTTTCCTGTTGTAGAGGTGCACAATGGATGCATCTTTCAGTTCCTGAGGAATGGAACCTTGTTTCCAGAAAGAGCAAAACAACTGGGTAAGTTTTTTTAACAAGCACAGCACCGCCAGCCTTATAGACTTCCGCTGGGATTGCATCAGATCCTGGCACCTTACCACTGGAACATTGATTGATGGTCTGTGAGGTTTCAGCCTCTGATGGTAGGGCATCCAGGCTATAGTTCATATCTACCTGGGGTATCCTGTCAATCGCCTCATTATTGATGGTGGATGGGCAGTTCAGCACAGAGTGGAAATGCTCATCCCAACGCTGTAAAATCAGGGTCTTCTCAGTGATAAGAGTTGCACCACTCGAATCCAGTAAAGGAGAGCTTCCTAAGAGCTGAGGTCCATACAGGGATCTAAGGGCTTCATAGAATCGTTTGGCATTGTTTCTATCAGCAAACATCTGGATTTCATCTGCTTTGGCACTCAGCCAGGAGTCCTGCATCTTGCGGAGCTTGCTCTGTACAATCCTGCGAGTGTTTATAAAAGCATTTTTCTTTGCAGTTGACAACGGGTCGTTCTGATGAGTGCGGTAGAGATGGTGTTTTTTGGCAAGCAAGGCCTTAATCTCTTCATCATTTTCATCAAACCAGTCCTGCTGCTTCCTATATGAGGGTCCAAGAACCTTAAGTGCAGAAGAGTGCAAGATGTCCCGGAAACATTCCTAGTCCTTCTCACCATTTTCCTGTATTTGAAGCTCCAGGAATTGATTGTCAAGATCTTTTACTAATGAAGCTACTACGTCAGGGTTTTCCAGTGTACTGACGTTGATCTTTTTCATCACAACTCTGTTTCCCTGTGGACGATTCTTTGGCTTGATGTGAATATTTAACTTGGAAATGATGAGTCTATGGTCAGTCCAACAGTCAGCACTTGGCATAGCCTTAGTTACTCTGACATCTTGCATGTCTTTCCTCCGCACAATGACATAATCAATGAGATGCCATGTCTGGAGTGTGGATGCATCCAGGAAGTCTTTTTACGAGTGGGTAGGTGAAAGATGGTATTAGTAATGACCAGATCATGAGCAGCACATGTCTTCAATAGCAACAGGCCATTGCTATTACACGTGCCAATTCCATTTTTACTAATAACACCATCCCAGGTACAGTGATCGGACCCCACTCTCGCGTTGAAATCACCAAGTAAAATCAGCCTATTGATGCGCTTCACAGATAAAAGTAGGGCATCAAGATCTTCATAAAACTTGTCCTTTACTTCATCTGGATTTGTCATTGTGGGGGCGTAGGCACTGATCAGTGTGGCTTGTTTTCCACTTAGTAATGGGAGATGCAGTCTCATGAGTCGATCATTCACACCCTTAGGAAGACTGGCAAGTTGGCAAACAAGATGGTTCTTAACTGCTAAGCCAACTCCAGACTCACGACGTTGGTCACTGCTATGCCCACACCAAAAGAATGTGTAGCCGCCTCCTGTTTCTGTGAGCTGATCTTCATTGGCTAGACGAGTTTCACACAGGGCCGCAATGTCAAATCTTGTAAGCTCTCTGGCTACCAGAGCTGTTCTTCTTTCTGGGCGATCTGCTAATGGATTGTCTTGAAGTGTAAGTACATTCCGTGTACCAATAATAAGTGGTAACACCTTGTGTTTCATCTTAAATTTTGTATTTCAACCACATGAGATGGGATCCCCTCCAACCGCGGTAGGTTGGACAGGGTTTGAAAGAAGCAACAATGTTTAGGACACATTTTCTAGCCCCTTCCTCATACTATGGAGGTGAGCAGTGTGATCCTAAAGAGGGCTGCTCAGTCGCTCAGATAGATACCGAATCCAGCTGTTGCTTCATCAGCAAGAAGTGACCATTAGACCTGAGCCGCCTGTGTGCAGGTCCACATCCACAGCTCCCAGTGATTCCATACCTGCTGCTTCTTCGTTCGCCTATCGCCACAGGACTTTGAGATTTATCATAGTTAGGGAAAGTCAATATGTCAAGACTTGCACGTGGATTGATTTGAGTGAGGGAGAGGTGCGCATAGTCAGCCTCACTCTCTCTTCCAAGATTCCATCTTATTCCAATGGCAGGACAAAAGTCGAGACAATTGGAGATGAGCTGGCTGCAGTGGTTGACCAGGGCATCTTTCGTGTCTTGCCGTGCTCTCAGCATACCACGTCACTTGCAGAAACTGCCTTCATGACCGTTGGTTCTATTTTAATAGATCTCATCCGCTCACTCCACCAGAGTCTGTCTTCACATGCTTGGGATAGACAAATCCCTTGCTTACCGAGTGTCAAAGACACAACAGCTACTCTCAGCCTGGTTTGGCCAGCCTGTCGAAACTGTTGCCCGGGATGTGGCCACTGCACATATTACAGCTACTAGGAGTCACAGGTGAGAGCTGAATGTCAGGTGGGGACCAAAGGTGTACGAGCTGCCCTAAAAGACAGACATGCCCTACACCAGAGGTACTACCCCTCCCTGAACACCCCATATACCCAATACACATAATAATATACCTTTCAGTTTGATCACAATATTGATATTCCCCTTATATCACAAACCTAATAGCTTGGGGGATAATGCTATTGTTAGAACAACATGGAAATATGTTTGAGAACTAAAGTTAACTTTTCAGTCAAGGGATGAAAAAATTAAGTGAAACATTACAATTAGGAAGAATCAGCCCCTCCAGTGAAATTCCATGTTTGGCCCTCCCTGACTAGTTAAGAAATAGGCAAGTCCTAGAAATAAGCAGGTCAGGGCCCACAGCAGTTATGAGAGAATGAAATGATCCCGTGGGAAATAAGCCCAGCCAGGAAAGAAGGTTTGCTGAGAACCAATTTATATTTTGATGGCTCAGTCTTGCTGGATGTCTGGATTTGACTTCTCCTGCTTATCTACAGTAATCTCTACATCTACAGTAATCTCCACATCCCTTATTTGGATATTCGAACACACAGAGAGGCCCACTAGTAAAAATGAATGTTTATAGCAGGAAGAGAATCAGAGAGGAAAAACATACCTGTCCTAGGAAACTAGTCAGAAATCTTATTTGAGACTCCATAATCTGCTGGTTCTCTATGAAGGTTTGATCTTTGTAATCAAATCGATTGCCAAAGACGACTGCACAAATCACATTAGAAACAGCACTTGCCAAATTTCTTCTTGGGTCAAAAGGCTGCCCTGCAACAAAGGCCACAGACATTTATGAGAGGGATCAAAGAATGGGGATCTTCCCTTCCACAATTCTCACCACAGAACTTCAACAAAAAAAGTGGTTTGGGTCAAAGAAGTTATTCAGAGATTTTATTGGTATTTTTTTAATAAATAATATTAAATAGAAGAACCTAGATGTAATTAAATGAAAACATAAACCTTATAACCACTAGAGTTTTTTTTTGAAAACTTTCTTGCTGTCTTCTGTCAAGAATTGTTTTCTCACTCCTTTCTCTGCCCTTTTCTGCTCATGGTGGGCTTTTTCCTCCCTGTCCCTTCCCTTAGAAGTTGCTACTTCCGGTTTTCACTCTCCTGACTGTCTCTCCCTCCACCTTCTAATTTCTTTCTTCTTTCTTTTTTAAAAATAATCCTATTATTTCATTTCTTTCCCCTTCTGATTCCAGAGATTTGTCCATTCATGATTATATTCAAAAGAGGCACAAATCTTTAGATGAATACTATTTATGACAATATGTTTTCCTTTCTAGTTTTGGATTACCTATGTCATTCATCCATAACTTCTTTTTCTGGCTCTTGAATTTGCCTGATATATAATCATGTTCAAATGAATTGTTTAAACAGTTTTTTGCCTTCTTTTCGCAGATTTAACTTAGCACTTTATTCCCTCAGCACTGTCTCCTTCTATCTCATTCACATTTTTTTCCTATTTTTTTAAATCTTCCAGAAAAGACTTGTCCAAAGAACATAATTTGTAATATTGTAAACTTAAGCTCTCTACAAGAATCTGAACTACTAATGGTCAAAGGAAATTATATACACATACCTATCTAAGTTTTTCTTTATTTTGTGCACTTAAGTACAGATGATTTGAGTTTCAGTTTAGAATCTAGTTTTCCTGTAACTTCACATAATACAACAAACCCTTTCTAGTTTCATATTTTAAAAGATAATAGTCTTCCTGATATGATTCTTGTGTGGGAGAACAGCTCTCAGTTTCTTTAGAGGACCTTTTGTGGCAGCCATTTCCTCCACCAGACAAAGGGCTTCCTCCTGCACCCTCTCAGACATTCTTTTCTTCCCCATCCCAAAATCTCGCAAGGTGGACAGTGTGAACCGTCGCAGCTCCCTCCATTTCTTCTCATCATTTGTAGGTACTCCTGAAACAAAAGACACCAAAAGTATCATGATGTTGGTCAATTCTAGCTTTTGTGGAAGAGCATGTTTCGATATAATATTTCAGGCACTTTTCTTTTTCAAATCTTTGTTTCAATCATAGTTGAAAGAGGCTACCCCACTGCAATAAATTATGCATCAGAGAATTGTCCTTCCTCACATTTAAAGTAAACAAGGCATGATGTTTGAAATACCAATGAAGCAAAGTTCACAGTTGCCATCTTTCCATTCCTTTTTTTAAAACAAATTTTATTGGTTTTTTAAGTTCTTAAAGCAACATATTCTGGATACACCATGGTGCTGGGGTAATCAAACATTTTAAAACAAGACATATATACATAATATGTCAAATATTCCCTCTCTTTTTCCCTCAAATAGCATAGTATATTTAGAATATCCAGTTCTAGCTTAAATTTATTCAACTTGAACCTGTTTTTAAGCTTCATCAATTTCTACCATAATCAAATTAACTTTAAATAAAAACATTTTCAATTCAAATATCCCTTCCACATATGTTCTATTTTCTTAATTTTATCAAAATCTTATTTGTTTCTTCTTCCATTAATCTCCCTTATATAGAGTAAAATATTAATCTATCCTATACCTATCAAATCTATCAATTGATCTATCTCTTCAAGCTAAAAAAATATCATACCTTAAATCATGTCATTCCATTAAACAAAATTCAAGTCCAGTTAATTATTATGACTAATAACGTCCATATCATCAGAAAATCATGTCATCTTATTAAATTTCAATTAACTATTAGTTCACTTCAAATCTGAAACATCTCTTCAATTTTCGTCATTCCATTACATCATAATTTTCATAGAAATAAACCTAACATTCTAAAAGGAACATTCCTAGTATTCTAAATTGTCCTTAATCCCTTATATAGAAAGATATCTCATTTTTAAACAAAAATATTAATCTATCCTAGACACATCTAAATATATGTATTTATCAAACTATTCTCTAGATATCTAATCCTTCACTTAATCAATCTCTTTAAGTTAACAAATTAATATCAAACCTTAAATCATTTCAATATTTAATTAACATTCAATTAATTATTGATTCACTCCAACTCTAAGACATCTTTTTACTTCAAACTCAAAATCTCAGTCCTTATATCAGTCCATAGTTCTAGGTTGCCTTTAATCCAATTTAAGAAATTTTAAATTTCATTTTTCAATCTTATTCTAGCTTTCCTCTTTTGCCAGGTAGGTTTCCATAACAGGGCTTCCCTTCCAGATAATAGGTCTCTTTTTGTTGCTAGTAGTGTCACTTGATTCGATACAGACCATCTTGATCTCTGATTTAATCCTCTGCTTCTCTTGCCCATAAAGCCTCGTTGCTTCAGAAGTCCAAAGTTCAGTCTTTGCTTTTTCTGGTCTTGCCTGTAGGGCAAAATAAGATTCTCCTTATCTTCAGTTAAAACCTCTTTTTGTATAATCTGTTTTGTAGAGTAGTCAAGTGTAATCTGGGAGTCAGTTTTAAGTTTTAAAGTAGAGATTCTGGCTCTTAGTTCTGTAGTAGCCTCTTTTATTGTAGTACATATTTCTTCTTTAGTCTCATAGATCTTTTCCAATATAAGTTTACAGTTTAAATGTGATTGAGGCTTCTCCATTTTAGCAATAGTTGAAGAAGAATCCTTTTCCTTTTTAGTGAAGGTTACAATTGAATAGTTGAACATTATCCACCCCCACAGATCACACAGCTAGCTCAAATTATCGTTTTTCTTGAAAAACAGTTTGAAGGCCAAAGCTCTCTCATCTCCAAATAAACAACAATCTAGTATTAAATTTTGACCAGTAGGTGTCCTCAGTGAGCTAAAAAGTCTTCTTCACATGCCATTTTTTTCCTTTTTTCTATCTTTTAAAGGGAGAATAGAAAAAGAAATACTCTGCCGATATAATACCGCTCCAAAAAGCACAAAAAACAGTTTTTTCTACAGCACAATGTAAGTAGAAGTAGAATATAGTCTTTAAATGAATATTTATTTATTTTTTCTGTCCTATTTGTAAAATGCGTTTGTTCCCACGATTACTAAAGCCGCTTTCTCCAGACGGGGAAATAATAGAACAAACAGCAAAAACAGCAGGGGTATGGGGAGGAACAAAAGGGGTCTCACTCAGATCATCCGCCATGGGTCTTTAAAGCTTAGATGATGATGTGACTTTCAGCTGGTGCAGCAGGGTGATTGGCAGGCTGATCTTTGCTCTGTTGGCCCTAAGGAGAAGCTGAAGACTTGGGGGAAGCTGCCGCCTTCCCCTATCTACCAGCTGGTCTCCTCCTTGGTGGTCCAGGGCAACTTTCGACCCCCTAGGGGGTCTACCGGCAAAGGAAACTCAGGACGGCCTGGAGAGAAGTTTCCAGGCGTGACCGGTGTCACTGCATTCCAGAACCGGAAGTCCCATCTTTCCATTCTTGACTGCTGTCATATTAAGAGAAGAATGAATGAGGCTATCAAAACCATGTCATAACCTTCTGTGGTGTGTTATAGATAGAAAGAAATCCCTACATAAGACATGGAACTCTACACTGAGATGCCGTTTTCAGTAAGCAGAAGAAAATTGGAGTCATTTTGAGTTGTGGATTTTATTTTATTATTATTATTTGCTGTAGAGGCTTTATTGACAAAAATAAGTCACTTCCAATTACGTATGTACTAGCTTGCTTGATTGTGTGCTAACAAGTTACTTTCAACTCTTAGCTACCTTTAGATTTCCTCCAACACAATCTATCTCTAACCTAATTCTTCAGGATTTGTAAGGGTACATTTGTCATCATTTTAACTGAGTTCATTGACGTTGCAGATGGCCCTCCTCTTCCTTTTATCTTTCTCACCATTACAGCCTCCTCTACAGAGCTAGACTTTTGAATCATATATCCAAAGAATGATAATTTCAGTCTAGTCATTTATGCTTTGAGTGAAAACTCTGAGCTGATTTGCTCAATGAGCTATTTGTTTCTTATTCTTGGATGTCCATAATATTCTCAGAGATTTTGTCCAACATCAAAACCATATTCTTTAGGCTTCCGGTTTCGGCTGGAAGATCTGCTCTTTCTCCTCCATTCAGTTTTGCATCGCTGGGGGGCCCTGAAAAGGGCTGAAAATTGCCCCAGAGAGGCGACCAGCAAGGAGGGGCTTTTGCTGGATCACAGAAGAGCAGCAAATTTCCTGAAGATCTGGCATTTCCTCCAAACTGGCGGACAAAAGGACCGGCCATAGAAATATGGCTCATCCCTAGGCTGCTAACAGCCAAAGTCACATTAACATCTGGCAACTTCAAAGCAGCATGGAAAGGATTGGGTGAGATCTGCCTCTCTTACATCCTCATTACTTAATTACCTGCATAAGCTGCTAAAGTACTTTTCCCCCTGTGATGAGGGAAGGGGGATTTTAGCCCTCCCTCCAGAAACAGCGGCTATCAACCATTTGGGAGTCTAAAATGTTGGGGAAAATACTGGAATTGGAATTCTATTTTTTAAAACTGATGGATTATAAGACTTGTAACTTTATGTTCTCTATTTTTTCTTCTTCTCTGATTTTTACTCTAACTATTATTGAAGATTTGGGTTCTTTTTCTCCCCCTTACAATAGAGGAGGGAAAGAAAACTGAAAAGATCTAACTAACTCTGAGATGACATTTGCTGGCTAAATTTGAGACTGTAACTGGCTATTCTTTAAGAAAGACTTGATTGCCTTAAAAACAGATTAGATACAAAGTAACCTTGAAGCACCATCTGCAAGAAACTCAGCTCAGCTTTTTACTTGGTGGACTTTCTGATTGTAAGTTTTTTGTTTAGTTTAATATATGACAATGGAAGAAGAACAGGAATGGATTTCTCCCACAGAGGAGGTACAGGAACAAATTCTTTATATGTTAAAAGCAATTATCCAAACTCTCCGTATGCAAGCTCAAACTATGACTTCAACTAAAGAATCATCTATACAGAATTCTATAGAGAAGGGGAAATGACCAAATGTTATGACAGAAGACTTAGATACACAACAAATACAAACTGTGGAAAACATGGGAAGGAAACTGATAATAGAGAACAAGGAAAGGACTTTTCTTATAAACCAGAAGGAATTTGAAGACAAAAAAGAAAAACAGATGAAAGACAAGATAAATACTTTGGGACAACTGCATCGAACTGGAAAAATAAAGAGACGACCTGTCAAACCAGCTATCCCTCTTAAGAAAACAGCAACTGAATGCTTTTATCAATATCAAACAATAGTTACAACAATACAAGGAGATCTTTTTGATGATTTAAAAGCGAAGATATGAAAGATGATTTGGCAGAGGAAAAAAGCTAGAATTAGGGATTAGGGTTTTGATCTATATATGAGATCTAAAATAGAATATATTTAAATGGATAGAATATGTATTTTGAATATAAGATATTGTAATGATTTGAGATAAAAAATTTGGTTTTATAAAATCTAGAGATATAAATATCGAAATAAGAATATTATATTGTCTTATTAGTTTGTTAAGATATATGATAGATTTTAAATATAAGATCTGTATTTTAAATATTAGATCATATGAGGAATTGTGATAAAGGAATCGTGTTTAATTAAAATTTGAAAAAAAGATAAATATTAAATGTTAAATTAAAATATTAAGGGAAAATCAATTATCAGGTTACTGATTTGCTAAAAGTTTGAATGTTTATAGATAACTAAGACTTGAATTTAAGATATTGTCATGAGTTGAGACACAGGTTAAATAAAACTTAGAAGTGTAAATACTAATAATTAAATTCATATATTAGCTTGTGGTATAAATGCTGATGGTTTATTTATTTATTTATTTTTCTCTTTTTCTGGAAAGGAAGAAAGGAAAGAAGTAGAAAAAAGGAAAAGAAAAGAAAAATTATTAGCCCCAAATATGAGATAGGAGACTGAGAAACTGGGATTATTTAAAATCTGGAAATGATAAAGATTAAATGTTAAATTTAAATATTAATGCAAAATTAAAGTTAAGAAAAACTTATTAAGTTATTGTCTAAAAGATGGAATGTCAAATTAATTAAGATATGTATAGATTGAAGATTATTAATGAATATTAGAAAGTTATTTTTTGTTTGATTGATAGAATAAGAACTGCATTGATCTGAATATGATAGTAGATCTTATGGGGGAAAGAGAGGGAATTTGTTGTTGTAATACTTTGAGATTTGTACTGATGATATTTAAATGTAATGGAATTACGATGCTCAACCACCACACTACTTTTCAAATATGTAAATGCAATATTGGGAAATTAATAAAAAACTTGGATATATGTAAAAAACCCATATTCTTTCAATATTCTTTCTCTCCAGTTTAATCAAAGTCCAAATTGCCAAAGTATCCTATTTGAAAAACATTTTGTCTGCCTTCCCAAAGGACCAGTTTAGAGGTGAGATTACTTTTTTTTTTTTTTTTTTTTGCATGTAAGGAACAACCAGAACAGATTTCAGAAGTGATCAGTGCAAGCGAAATGGTGAAAAAAAAGGTGTTTCTCCCTCTTCAAAAAGCATGACCAGATCAACCTCTTTACAAAATTTCATTTCAAGTGAAACTTTCATAACTATAAATAATATTAAGAGCATTAAAATAATTTAAAATTACTTATAGAAAATTAAAAAGAGCAATAACGAATAAGGAAATAAAAGAGAATGAACCTTTATTTTGGAACACTCGTGTGCGAAAGGGCATATTAGTTCGCCCACCAAATTCTTCTGCTTGATTTATCAAAGCATCTTTTACCACCTCATATCCACAAAGAGCAACCATTGGTTTTGATCCAATCCAGACAGTAAATATAGGTCCATACTTCTTTGTAAGCTAAAGGTAAAATTAGATGAAAACCATAACTGGTAATTAAACGATAAAGCATTTTTTGGTGAAATTATTCTAAAGCATGCTTGAAATATTTCTTAAATTCATCACAGAGAGATCATGTTGAATCTAAGCTTTAATCATTCTTAGTATCTACATGGTACATTAATTTGATTGGATAAATTGCATGTACTGTATCTCCTAGCTGGTGAGATGATGGAAATGAGATAATCACAATTTTGACTGTATAATACATTTCTGCAAGTAATCTGTACTGCAAAATATATGATAGCAAGTTTTGCTTGTAACCACATATTTTAATGAACTTTGTAACCTCCATTGTGTGTTTTTATCAGACTGTAATTAGGTGACTTTAAATTAAAATTCCTACTAAAGATGCACAAAAGCCCCTAATAAAATTGGACTCTTATAGAAGAAAATCAAACTTCTTAAACTAGGGAAATGTGCATATATCTTTCAAAATAATCACCTGAAAAAGCAAAGAAGTACAATAGTTACCTTTCTATAGGATTTATTTAGAGGTAGTACATCTTGCTGAAAGAGGTTCCCCAGAATAGACCATGGAGTAGGTCCAGGGGGCAGCTGCCCTTTTTTCTTGTACATTTGGAAAGATGAGAAAAGGGTGAAAAGTATACAGAGAAGAAGCAGAACTCCTGCCCATGTCAGCTCCATCCTCCCCTCAGTTGTTTTCCTCTTCAAAAATCCAAAAAGCTGTTTAAAGGAGACAAGGTTGAAAGAAGGAGACCAACTGAATCCCCAATCACATCTAAATTCTTCACTTCCTCTAACCTTTACAAACCTCTTGTTTACATTCAGCTCAAATTATTCTTTCACCTCTATTTGTATAGGAAAGTTACTTATCAACATTTTTATCTTTGGACTGTGGACAAAGGTAAGTTACAGTTTCTCTATGTTTGGGGGAAAATATGGAGTGCATGCAGTCTTGGGTTTCAAATAATTTAACAACCGGTTCTCTGCCTCGCCTTCCCTCCACCTTGGTTGGGGTGGGCTGCTCGGGGGTCAGCTGGGATGGGGGCAGGGGTGTAGGAGCCCCCAGTTACAGAATTGCTGGAGGTCACAGCTGGGGAGGGGAGGAGGGTACGGTGAGGGGACTGCAAGAGTCTCGGAATGGTGTGAGTGCAGGAGGGGGGGTCAGCAGATCCCAGCTGGAGGAAGGTGAGGGGGTCTGGCTAGGGGGGTGGGAGGGCTGGGATGCCTTCTCCAGGGAAAGCTCTACTCCCACTGGCTGAGCCTGTCATCCACACCACGGTCAGGTAGGATTGCATAGAAGAGGCGCTGGGCAGGGGGCTGGAGGGGGAGCTGCCAGCAGAGGGGGAATTAGAGTAGCCGCCATCTCCCTTTCTCAGCGCAGCTCCATCAGCGTAGGTGGAGGTGGCCCCGGGACATCCAGAAGTGAGCCCTTGCCTGACCTGGGCCCCATCCCCTTGGCAGCTCTGCTGGGGGCAGCAGCTGCTGCTCTGAGCCCCTTAACCAACTGGCCACACAGTGAAGTAGGAGGAGGTGGCTGTGATTCCTGCATTACCAGGCCTGGCCAGCAGCAGACTAAAAACAAAAAAGTTTTATCAATCAAATCCAATTTATCGTGAAGAAAAAAAATCTTGCAAAGTTGGAATTGATTGATTGAACTTTTTTTTTAGTCCCATAAACCTGTTTGTGGGACTGCTCACGGCAGTGGAGGAAGTGACGGAGGACCATGTCGAAGCTGGAAAGAAGGTGTCACATAGGTCCGATTAGAGATGGGCAGGGGTGGCATTTCTGCCACATGCTAACCGCTTCTCCGAACTGAAAAGAATTAGCTACCGGTTCTACCAAACCGGTCCAAACCAGCTGAATCTGACCACTGAGTGCATGTAGGTTGAGTTTAAAATATGGACATTTGCCTTTTATGTAATTTTTTAAGTTGAGTCCTGTAGTAATCAGTCCTTAGTCATTGAAGGGTGCAAAGAAATGGCCGCTCGCACGCAGCATTTATTTGTTTTTATAGAGTTTTACAAATAGCAAAAGTTACTGCATGGCAATAGCATTTCATTGGCTAAAATCCTTTACCAATCCTCAAGAGTAAAAAACTAGAGCCATAAACAGGGAAACTTGTTGTTCACCAGCCAGCCTTATCAAACTGGCCAAGGTCACACAGACCTACATACTTCCACATCACTATGGTGATGTGAAGGAATGAGATAGATGCAGAGAGGAGGGGTACACAGGCTTTGGAGGGGCAGTGTTCTGCACATGATCTTTGCCTGTCTCTCACCTCTACATCTCACTCCTTTTTGTTTTGTTAGACGAAATATCGCCGTAAGTGGGGTTAATAAAAGGATTATAATCAGGAGAGGAGCATCCTTGCAGTTGTTAATATAGGGCCAAACTTGACCCTGAGGCAATGTGGGAGAGAATTTGGGGTTTAAAGCTCTAATACATATATTGCAAAATGAAAGGAGTACATTATATAAACAGCACCCATAAAGATCCTAAGGTACCAATTTTCAAATCAGGCCAAATTGTGTAAAATATTAATCTGATGCTGGATGGTTCGTGAATTATCAGAAATATTAAAACAATACATTTCCTCAAAACGTTTACAACCCAAATGCTGGTGCAGAAGCAAATAATCAATTGCAGCGTGATTTTGCAAAATAGCTTTTCTCAAATTTTGCAGTTCATGGTTGATCGATGAAATAGTTGAAGAAGTAATATTAATTGTTTTTGCCAAATTTCATGTAATAGCTTTAATGTTGAGGTGAGCACGAACAGCAAGTCCTGGCACGCCCACTGGAGATATAGCCAATGCTACAAAGTAAGATTGTCTCAGAGTCACAAGTGTTGTCTAGCACGACACCACATGGAGAATGGTTCGTGTAAACTTGTTGTTTGGAAAGCAAAACAGGAATCAGCCAGCTGAAGCAACATTGCGCTTCACTAATATTAGCAGGAATATAATTTAAAGTTTCTTGGCCACACATAAAAAACCCTCCTTGCAGTAGCCAAGCATGTCCAAAATGAAAGGAAGTCTCTATTGAAGCTGTGCAGTTTAAAACAGGTGAGCCAATGCGATGACAGTGAGGTTTTTAAAGCAATAACCTCCCAGAGTCATTGAAGTTTTGAATTACTGCAGAAGGGGTGCAAACAAAGACTAAACATGTAGAAAGCAAATTTTCATGTCATACATTTCAGATAAACAAAAGAAGTCATTTTGTGTGATGTTAGATTTTGCTTCATTCATTGTTCGAATGATTGTTTGAGTGGGATGACAGTTGCAGTTGTCAAAGGGCAGATGTTAACAATCAGACATAAACAAATGATGGATAAGAAATTTGCAGTTAAAACCTCAAAAATGGCAGCACACAGTTTCTCAAGGATCAAGTTCTTTACATCTCCCCACGTCACTGGCTGCCTGGCATGTCAGGATTGGATTACTTGCTGTGCCATCTGTAGAGTCACCCTTGCCATTTCTGGGACTGGGTCCAGGGACTGGTGCCACGACATCCCTGGCTGGGTGATCACAATGCGCTGGAATTCGCAAAGGTCCTGTTGGAGCAAGCACAGCAGCATAGCCCCGCCCCCAAGTGATCAGAGGGACTGGTCCCAACCATGTTTTGTCTGGTAAATGCCCGATAATATACCAGAGGTGGAGGCAAGCTTGTTTTCTGTTGAAAGTGTCTCTGATAAGTGGTCAAATTTTGAATGGAAATATTCAATTGGTGTAATGTAAATAATACTTTTTGAACCTGTTGTATTACCCACGACAAATTGGGTACCCTAGATAATCCCGTCCTTTTTTATTTGTTTGTGAAGGCAGTCCTTGAAAGACCAATTAGCATGTTCCACGATAGCTTGACCTGTGGAATTATAGAGAAGACCATGAGTAAAAACAATATTTCAGGTTATATAAAATTGTAAAAAGGCCATGAAAAATAGGCTGGCCCATTGTCAGTTTTTAGGGAAGAGGGTTTACCCAGGGCTTTAACGGCCAAAAAAAGATGAAAAATAACATGTGAAGCTGTTTCCCCTCGTAGAGGTGGGGGAAATTGTTCCTAAATATCTATTTATGAATATACATTTCTAGGAAGCCAAAAAGAGAGAAAATGGATAACATCCATTTGTCATAGTTGATTAGAGGCAAAACCACATAAAAGACATAAAAAAGACATACAAAAAAAATTAGGCCCAGGAAGGGGGGAGTGATTGTGTATATGAGAAACAAAATTATAAATGCTTTCAGTTCTGGAGCAGCTGCTGCAAAGTTAAAAACAAAGTCATAAGATTGGTGTCAATCCTGGGCGTGATGTAAGCACCTGAAGAAGTAAAAGTAAGTTGGCACACATAATGAGAGTCAGAGATTAAGTTAAAAGACGGTTGAGAAAAGATTTGAAAAGCTAAAATAACAGTAGATCAGGAAAAACAAACAAGCAAGTCAAAGATCATAAGGCAAATGATATGAAATACAGCCTATATAGTCAGTTAAAGCACATTAAAGAGATAAGTTATTTTTGAAAACAATATTAATAATCAGTTCCTTTTCGATGGCAAGGTCTTGTGCGTCCTAAGGTTATCATTTTAGCAACCACTTGGATAAAAAATAAACATTTTGGTATGGGATGTGGGGTAAGTACCTATTATTCAATCCAATATACTTTCTGCACTTCTATTACAGTTAATACTCCGTTAAGTAATTTACTAGTAGGAAAAAATCAAAAGTGTGGAATTCTGTCCACAAATTGAGTACTCATGATGTCATCAATTTGTGCAACTATATTTTTTCTGGGATTTATTGCAATCCTAAATCATTTTATATTTTCTGAAAGCCAATTAAATTGTATCTTTGGTGCTTCAATTTAAGCAAAGTCCATTCAGATGGAAATAAATTGTATATAAATAGGTTAAACATTTATAAATCTATAACAAAGTAATTCAGTTAGTTCTTTTTGTTGTTGGATATAAAAAATATTGTCCAACATTTACTGTTTCCTCTTTTGAGTAAAAAAAAATTATTTGCCGAAACTGCATAGGTGAATGTCAAGTTTCAGATTCACTCCACTCTTCTCAGATTACAATTCCAAGCAGAGGAAAAAAAATTTTAAACGAACAGTTCCTCCTCCTCCTTCCTGTCTCTTACTCTTTAAGCAACGCAGCCAGCCGAAAGAGACGGGGGGAGGGGAAATCTCACCACCAAAAAGTAGTTTCATCTCCTTCATATGCATTTTTCAATAAATTCTCTCATACATTCTCCATGAAATTCTTCTCATACAAATATTTACTATTATTTTCACAGTTTGGGAGAAAATGGGTGGGTTTTGAAGGCTAACACACACTTCAACAAATTAATTCATTCAGTTCCATACTGACTGTTTGCATAAAACCATTCCACATACAATTATTTCATTTCATACTTTCTCCAGGCAAATCATATATTCTTAGCAAGGCCTTTTTGTATTGTTGTTATCAGAGAGGGTTTTGAGCCTCTTCCAAGTCTTGGAAATAACACAGAACAACACAGACAAACGTATATACACAAATACTCTTACAACAACATTTATTTAGACATATAACTTGTCCTGCAAGAAGCGAGAAAAATGACAAGGTGATTTCAACCAAAAAGTGGTTTTGAGGGCCCTAATCATTTCCCATTTTTCTCACCATTCCAAGCCCAAGCATAATGTTCTGAGTGGCCACACACACACATAACACAAAACACAACCAGACATTTGTCTGACAGGGTTAACTTAACAGATTATAGAGTTTCAAAACATTCCGATTGCTCAAAACACTTCACTCTGAGGGAGTACATTT